TATAGATATAGATATAGATATAGATATATATATATATAGGCTGGACTATTAAAAATGATCACAATAAAATAAATACATATGAAAGTTTGTAGTTCTAAAATGACAAAATGTAAATAATTATGATAATAGAAAATGAATCTGCAAAATCTATACAAGAAATCTTTGTCAAAATGGTCTTATTAAATATTAACTCTGGCATTGTTTGTAAAGTTTTAATTATACCAAGTAACTTCACTTAGTAATGCAAAATTAACCAATGGTCAAAAATTGAAAGGTAAGGTTACTCACGTTGTACGTTGATGAACAACCTGTCACTGTAGTGAGAACATGATTCAGACTGACCAGGGAAGCAGCAACTCAATTCAACCTTAGCGGGTGCAGAACGTTTTGCCATCTGCAGCAGCTCAGTTCCAGTAAACGTCTGGTTGCAGGAGAAACCCTGATTTGTTCCTCCACTTAAAGTGTATAAGAAACATCGTGAACTACGCCGACCCTCACAGGTCAGGATAACTGAGGCCGTCTCTATGATCGCTGACCGACTCGCTGTTAGATTAACTGGAGGAAAACCTGAAAGATGAAACATTAAGTCAGATATTAAAAGGAAATAATGTCAAGTGAATTTGATCATTTATGTTTTTTATAACTGACCTTCAGCCCAGAACCCATGAAGGGAACCTACTGGGGAAAAAGTCACAGATTAAAATAAAACTTGTTTAAGTGTAAAAAAAAAAAAAAAAAACTCGTTTATATACATTTTACAAATCTAGATTGATAGAATGTAAAGGACAACTTACAGATGAGGATGATACAAATCATATTTTTTGCCATGATGGAGGAAAGTCCTTCAAACACCAGTGAGCAGAGATGAGACTGTGAGGGTCACATGTTGGTTTGACTCGTTTCATTGCTCTGAAAAGGAAAACCACAACACACCTCAGAATATATTAACAGCATTTGAGAACCCACAGAGAACTGAGAGGCCGTTCTATAAAAGTATAACACATGTAGGTGCTGCTGACCTCAGCGGAAACTAACAACTGTGCAAACATGAGTCTCTATTGTCTTACTTAATGTTGTTCAAGTTACGATTCATAACCAGATGTAACAGAGGAAGACAACATTCTGAACAGCAAACGACTAAAACAGGCTCAATAAATTGCAATATCAAACAATTCCCATAATATTTGTGATGTGCATCAAAAATGTGCATCCTTGGGCTGCCACCTTATCGTGGTGGAGGGGTTTGAGTGTCCTAAGGATCCTAGGAGGCAGACAGGTCCTAGGTGAGGAACCAGACTAAGTGCAGCCTGAAGACCCCTAATGAT